ACTCAGGAAAAGCACCCTCTACATGGAAATTTTTCAAAAATTTCCCACCATTGTTCACTTTAGTCCAGCCTCACTAGTGCTAGCAAGGTTAATAATAAAGAACTGCCAGTTACCCCTAATGCTTTAAGGAATGTGTCATCTCATCTTACTAGGTACAATTTGGGAAAATAAATAATCTTTGCTACTTGAAATACCAAATACCAAAAAGGCAATACATTCAGTTCATTGGGATTTTTTGGTTCAGATTCAATTATCTGTAAAAACCACATTGGCAGAAGCACTATTAACTGGATCAAGTTATATTCAAACCTGTTGCTAGAACTAGCACTAACTGGACTGTCTGAACAATTTGCTTCAGCCAGACTAGAGAACTGATGAAAAGGGATAGAATACTATTTGCTCTGAGAAGTCCTTCCCAATAATGATCTAGCAAGATTCCTCTCCAACTGACTTTAGAATCACAGAATATCAGGGTTGGAAGGGACCTCAGGAGGTCATCTAGTCCAACCCCCTGCTCAAAGCAGGACCAATTCCCAACTAAATCATCCCAGCCAGGGCTTTGTCAAGCCTGACCTTAAAAACCTCACTGTAAGTGCGAAAAGGTGGGTGAGGTAATATCTTTTATTGGACCAACTTCTGTTAATGAGAGCTGTCGAGCTTAATCAGAGCTCCTCTCCAGGTCTTTTGCATAGTTACTGTAAATGGTGCATCAAATATTGTTATACATGGATACGTGCCAAAGACAAAAGTGAAACTTCCCAAATTATTAAACATAGGTAACTATGGACGTTTATCTGTTTTGCATGTTGTTTCATCAGCCAAATTTTGTCTGACGTGTTCACTACATGGGCACAAAGCTGAGAAAGTCATTTGGGAACAGAATGCCCAAGATTTTCAAAGTGGCTCTTAAATTCACATCAGTCCTGAACAAGTGACCTGATTTTCAAAGGTGCTGTGAATGGAGCTGCTCTCATGGTCTTCAGTGTCTGCTGCAGGGTGCTCAGCATGTTTGAAAAATAGGGTCACTTGTTAAGGTGCCTAAATGTGGATTTAGGAGCCTAATTTTAGACACCCATCTTTGAAAATCTGCAGCTATAAATGTTAGAAAATAATAGTTAATGAACAGATTTCCCCAGAAAATTGGCAAAACCACCCTAAGAACAATGAAAATGATACCCGAACTGCAATATCGCTCATCTTTCAAAATATCTCATTTGCACTGCAGCATCATGCATTAAAAAGATGAAATGTTATTCTGATCAAATTAATGTGTTTGGTGAGATGGGTGAGACCCCAAGTGAAGCTGGACCCTCTAATGCTCCTTTAAGCTGAATGGGCCACCCTATGGCAAGTATGCAGGCTTACTACTGGAACATTCACTGCAGTTCATCTCTGTTTCAGGGAAATGAAACACTTGCACACTTTGGAAAAGGCAGGTATGCACTTAGTATTTATCTTATTTACAACAGGTAAATAAATGCTTATATATGAAGTTGCTGAAAGGATTGGTAGCCTGCTAAAAAGTGGCACACTATATTGACAAGTTAAAAATGGATTTGTTCTTAGCCCCAGAAGTATTACTATGGATTTGCAGAGTGCTCGAATGCAAGCACTAGGGTTTGCAGAATGCTTGAAGGCAAGGGGGGTTAAAAAACATCAGACAAGGATAATTGTCTAAACATATCTAAATGAGCAGTTTGACAATCACATAACTATAATGACAAACGGAAGGCAGAAATGGTTCATGATAATAAAAATGGTGAAATGTAGAACAATAATGTACAGTATAGCTATAATATTTTCTATTTCCCCTTCCAGCGATCAATCTTTTAAATAGATTCACAGGTGAGCGTGGCTGCCAGCATATGATCTCACATGTATGTTTTATTTTATATAATATTGAAAAAACAGCAATAGTAAGAAAGAGGCTGGGGCTTAATATGACAATGTTAAACAAAGGCTAAGGGACTAATGTTAAAATATAAGTGGTAAATAAAAATATTGGGATAAAGAAAAATTACGTTCTCCCATTCTCTTGCCTGTATTTGGTATTTGTAGATTGTAACTTGTCTTCTGTCTGTGAACATCTAGCACACTCTTGGGTACTAGGTAAATTGATAATTATAGGTAGGTTCCACTGTCTTAAGCAATACTAGCATAGAGATTCGAGGATAGATATTGAAGGTGTGTTTGCCACAACTAAGGATGTGTCTGTACTTTTCAAACATTAATTAATTCAGTTTAAATTTGCATAGCACTTGTGTAAAAACTAGTTGTAAAACTAATCTGGACATTTATTTCCAGTTGGCATGGGAATGTCCTCAGATATTTGTTGTGAATTCTATAACTGGTATATTGAATACAGTTCTGCAGAGTGAACTGGAGCCATCTCCTGCCTTTCGTTGCTGACACTTCATGATTTTGTTCACTCTGCGCATTCTAAATTGATTGAAATTGCTTTATTACTTGTGCAGAGGTGCACTGCCCTGAAATAATGATGCAGTGTCATTGAGCCCATGGACTGAGAATACAGAACTAAATTCAGGAGTTAAAGCAGTGATGGATTTGGCCTGTGATGTACTGCGTATCTGCAGAAAAGGTTACCTATCAAAAAAGATCAAAGTGAATCACTGTCCTTTACTGGGGAAAAAAAGAAAACCTCCCACAAAGTATCAGAATTATGTCATTTTATTGTTAAACACAGTAAATAGGTAGTTATTCACTTGTAATGGGAGTTCTTGGAGTCTTTTGCCTCTGCTGAGCCACGTTTGGAACTGCTTAGCAATTAAATACTGTAATGGCTGCCCTTGTACTTGTCTTGCAGAACACAGTATCAGGAGTGAGACTAAGAAAGATCTACAGCCACCATTTCCCCTCCGGTCCCTATCTCCTCTCTGCAGGAGAGCATGTAGACTTCAGACACCACCAGGAGCTTTGTGGACTTCAGACTTGTGTGGCACACTCAAGATAGACAAACTGTAGTGAACAGTTTACAAAATTAACTCTCCAACTGTTCCAAAAATGCTGCATATGAACATTTTTCAGACCAAATTTGTAATTTCCAGGTCAAGTCACTAAAAAAATTGAGAATATTTTATTAATAGAATTACTACTGAGGTTTTTTTCCTGCAGCAGTCATGTTCCAAATGTCGTCAGATTATATATAAGGTGAGTGTGCTAAAAGACAACATATGGAAAATTTCAGGGAAAACAATTTATTGTGAAGTTGCATTACACTGGATATCTATACACATCCTTAATGATGGAGTCTCTGCTCCACCATTGCTTCATATTATTCAACAACAATGGAAGGATCCTGAGTAAAAGAATTAGATGAATTTTAGAGCTTGTCAAAATTTTTAGCAAAGAATTTTCATTGTTTTCTTTTTGAAAAGCTATTTTTCTCCAGAAAATGGCCTGTGAAAATTTTTTTGATAAAGTTGACAGCTTTTCATTAAAAACTTACTCTTTTACAAAACTTTCTGCCACATTTATCAATTTTTGTACATTTTCAAAATCACTGAAGTTTTTCGTTTACTGAAATCTTCATTTTATTACAGAAAACTATTTTCAGTAAAAGAAAAATTTGGGTAATGATTCAAAACTTGAAGATATTGATTAAAGTCTTGCAGAAAATTTTGGAGAGGATTAAAGTAGGTCAATTTTGAATGCTGTGAAACAAATAATTTTGAAGTTCCCGTTTTTTGCCTGCTTTATGATGAGATCTAATTATTAAGCCTCTCATTTTTATTTTGTTAAATATAGATTTATGATCAGTGTTGCTCAAATGCATAGTAATTTCCATAATCTAATAGAATGGTTTTTTCTTATAAATCCTGTGATATTTAATCTGGAAGGATTGCTTATTAATATTCTTTTAATGCAGGTATTTTGTGTGTAGTTTCCTTGGTTTAAAGAAAAATCCAACAACTGAATTCCCCTACCTATGTTTTACATGGGTAAAACATAGTTTTCCCTAGCCTCTTTCTAAGAAGCAACTGAATATTTTTGGCAGAAGTTTTCAAAGTCAGACTGAAGCAGACATCTTGCATGGAAAACTTCAGCCAAATGGTTCGTTTGACAAAGTTATAAGCTACTGAGAACATGATCTTATAATGGGAAGCATCAAACAACCTTAACAGGTGGCACTATCAGCCCTGCCTATCACATCAGTAGCGCATAGAACACTTACCATAAGTGAGCAGTTATCACTTTATTCTGGTTAATGCAGCAACCAGTCATGTAACTCATTCAGCAGAAGTGACAGATCTATATGGACCAGAATACCAAAGGAAGTGAAGACTACAAAACAAAAACTGAACATGTTCATTGAGAATTTATTTCAGTACTTCTTCATCCTCCATAAAACTGAGGTAACTCTAAAAGGAACCAAATCCTAGAAGTGTATAACAACTTGTAAACTGAGAAAAGACAGATTCCAATGTAACATATCTGAAGGTACAACTGGTTGTACACTCCATTTTCTTTGCTTTAAACAAGCTCCTGGGAACAACTTCTTCCCAAAGTGGGAAACGTATTACCCTTTACAGTAGCTTCAGGAAACTGGTTTACTTGTTTGGCAATCGGAAATGAGTATTTTTAACATTGCCATTTTAAAGTTATGCTGCATGATAGGTTGAGATACTTTATCAATAGAAAGCCCAGCCCTTAAAGCTGAAAGCTCATGAGCGTCACAGCTAAAAACCAAACATACTTAACACACATGACAGATTGTATCTAATTGTAAAAGACAGCATTTTAAAATTAAATGTACTTTCTTTTGGAAATTTTATGGTCCATGGGGAGTGAATATGAAGTCAAATCTCAGACTTAAGTGTTATAAACTGCAGGTCAAAACAGATTACAATTGGAATGTTATGAGATTACTGAAAGAGTTCTCAGGAAAACAGCACATTAGTTGTATAACACAGCAAAATCCATTAATACCAGCTATACCATTTAAAGATTTAAAATAATAGCCTAAATACATACGAGTAATTTAATACCACTATTACCAGTTCCAAATCACAATGTATTTGTGTGTTTCAATACACAGAAACAAAAAGAGCTTTGGTCATCCACAATATTGCACATCATGGGATATGGGCTCCATTTAATGTGCATCAACGGGAATTCCAAGTGCACAGTGAGACAAAAGCAGATTTGTTTATTTAATCTGGGTGAATTTATGCAAGAACCTTTAAAGCTGCTACAGAACAAAAGAAAAAACAGATGCTGGGATCAAAACATATGTCTTTTAAAGATGCTTTTTCTTTCAGATTATAGAAACATTTGACTATTGGCAATTTTATAAAATATACGTATATTGCAAAAATGCAGTACGTAACAGCAGCAATGAAGAGTTACCTCATCTTTCTTCAACATTTTAGTTCACTGAAATAGTTCTCATGCTCCATTATGTGTAATAATGCATTTGGAGAATGTAAATAACCTAATTAGATTTGCTTGTTTCGAGACGCCAGGCACCAGTTAAATATCTCAGTCGTATAAAAAGAAGATCCCTGCCCATCTGCAGCCAGCTCCAAAAGGGAACCAGCTTCGAACCTATGATTAATAAAAGATACAAAAAAAATCAGAGGGACAATGTTTAAACAAGTGTTCACCTTAAATAAAGTTAGCATCAATAAGAGAGATTTAACCAGAGAACATCTGCATTTAGCCCTTGACTTTAATAAACATTTCCACTTGAAAAGTTAATGCTTTAAAATTTAAATTATATTTGAAATTATACTGAGAGTGGGACATTCTAGGTCAGAAATAGATAGTGGCTCAACATATGCTATGGTGGCATATGTACACAAACTTACTGCTGGACAATAAATCAAACTTTGTTCAGGCAACTAGACTTAGAACCTGAACAAAGGTCATTGGAAGAAAGTGTGTGTTTGTTTTTCTTTCCTAAATCACTCAAGACACAATCTTAAGAGCACTAGCACAAACCCACTAATCTCCAAGCAACTTAAGATATCCAAACAATTTAATTAACCCTTCTTCAGTAGGGCTAGACATCATGCTAGGTAGAATATGCTCTCTCTGTATCTCATAGCAGAGTTCCCTACAATCTGGAAAGCAACAGGCATTGTAAGAAACTTGAAGCAAAGAGGGTGCCCTAGGGGAGCTTATACGTGGCTCCAAAACTCTCACCACTCCCATCACAAGAAGGGGCCGGAGAAAGGAAGAATTGGAAACGGAGCCATCAGGGGAAGCTGGCCAGCCTTACTGCATTCAGGTCTTTTACAACTGGATGGCTGTATGAAGAGAAGGCTCAATGCAACACGTCCTCAAGTTTGGAAAAAAGTGTTTGAGTCACTAGAGGACGATACAAAGGTATTGCTTTCTGGACTGATACTCAAGGAGGTGGGAGGTGGGTACGCAATTTACTCACCATCAATTTCAGTCCAGTTGACAGCAACCTCTGCTATTGGTATTTTCAAGCGCTGAGCTATGTAAAGAAGTTCCACATCAAATGCCCTGAAATAGAACAGGAAATAGTAAATTCATTGGTATTTATTTTCAGAAAAAAGAACATTGCAGTGTTAATTAAATCTCTGTTCTGGTGTAATTTAAGGCACTTAGTCTGCAGTTATCAAGTTTATACTGATACTCTGAAAGTCAGATTCACATGAAAGATCAATTCGTTATATAGCTGAATGACAGAAACTAGCCAGGGTACAGATTCCAGTACCTCATTGCACAACACATACATTAAAAGAAAGGATGAAGTGCTTGTATCAGCACTCACACTTTCCATTTGGTCACAGTTGAGATTTAGATCTTTGTAAAGATTGGGGCAGCAGAGCTTCCTCGCAGCACCGACCTACTTCTCTAGTGCTTTCTCGGATTTCAACTGCACCAGAAACTCCTCTTCCCTTTCTTGATGCTGCTGTATGCTGATGTGATACACTCTCCTTGTTTTCTTTGAGTCAAAAACCAATGCAGAAGGGAAGTGAGGAAGCAGAGAAATAATGGGAGCTGAGGAACAGCTGGGAGTGCATATAAACAACCAGCATAGAGCCTTTTCTCTCTTCAAGTCTATCATTTTTACTGGCAGGCTCTGCTCAGATGAGATCCACTACTAGAATAATTGGGGTAGCAGAAGTCAGGAGTAGGTGCATTGGCCAAGTTCACACAGCTTCTCATTGCACTATGTCTAGCACCAACGAACATCATAAGACCTACACTTTAAGTATGAAGAGTCACTCATTTCTTCACCTCACTTGTACAGCTAAAATTCCTCATCTGCTCAGCATTCTTCAGGCCTGGTTTTCATAACAGCTGAGCATCCACAGCTCTCACTGAGGTCAATGGGATACATGGATGATCGCTATTAGACATCAAGGACGTGATTTTCAGTAAATAGCTATCTACATATAACTTATGCATTGCAAGGGTGACTAGAGATAAATTTAAATCTCTAGTAAGTCAGTATTTCTCTATATTTAGTTGTATATACTAAGTACTGAACCCAAAATATTCTGACTTCTTGTTCACCTGTCATTAAGTTTCTCTTTACACTTCAACATTTGTTCTTAGAAAGACAGCCAAGAGTAACAGAGTTCTTTTTTGAAACAGTTCATGAATATTAAGTGTCTTATCTGAATTAAGACAATTTTATTTCAGACTTTCATATAGGTCACTCACAAAGTCCCTGTTTCTTGACTATTTTCTAGGCAATGGCTTATTTTAAATGCCAAAAAGTTGTTAAAGAATGCAAACACTTATGCTCTAAATCAATTGTTATTGATTTTTAGTGTGATATAAAACATTAGCACTTCCTTTTCAGCAACTGCATTGTCTAACTAATAAAAATATATAGTTACATAAGACATTTGTGCCTTCAACTGTCCAACCAGGATATCCATTATAGTCCTATTTGAAGTACACTCTTGCTTTGATTTAAAAGACAACATATACATTTACCATATTTCTATAAGAAGGCATAGAACCATTGTTAAAGGTTGGGGGAGGTTAAAAGTTTAAGTAAAGACAATTTTCAAGTTTAAAAGGTTTTCTTGGGGGTGGGAGAGTAAGAGGGTGCCTGTTGAAAACTTCAGGAGCTTAGAGGCCATAAGGCAGCTTTAGCTAAAGAGTGCATACCTCCTAACTCTCATATAACATCCAATATGTGAAACTAATGAGAGGTGTTGGCTGCTACTGAGCAGGATGGATTAAAAAAATCATCACGATTTAAAAAATTTATTTTCATGTTGTTAATTCTTGACTTTCTTCCTATTTTATAGCCTTAAATTGCTGAAGTGGGTGTTCTGTACCTGTTTCCTTAATTGGTTTCCTAATTATTAGTAGAATTCCAGATTTTACATAGATTTTTTTTTCTACAAAAAAAGTTTCACACTTAAAATGCTCATCTGTGCTGAAGAAGGAAAGTCCAGGGCCTCTAACATATTTACTGGAAGAATACCAAATACACAAATACAAGACTGATAAGCAAATAGTCCCAGCTACATTTGCAACCAACACCACTTTCCTGTGTATATTGAACTTCCACAAGTCAAGACAGCTGAAATACTTTACATAACCAGGCTGTACTCCTCCATCACGGTTTGCAGTTTGAAGTCAATGGGATTTGTGCTCCCAAGTCACATCGGTACTTTTGAAAATACTACCATTAGGTCCTCAAATACGGTTTAACAATTTTGGCCTCTGTGCATAAAGAGTTCACAATAACTAGATGTGACAGAATTCAAATTATATTTTTTGATAATTTCAATGGAGAATATCAATGTTTATTTTTAAGCATTTTTTTCAATTTTCATCTATCTAAATTTTCACAGTCATGAGAAATTATGGGAAAGGGCTCAGACAATTATTTAATTACAGTAGAAGTAGCAATTCAAAAAGTTAAAGCTCTTGAACTGTTAAAACACAAATTGTCAACATCACGTCAAAATATACAAAGTAAATATTCTTAAATCAAACTCTAAATTCTCAAGCAGCATTTTTCTTACTTGGCCTATTTGTAAATTTAGATGATTATTGATGGAATTTTTTTTTTGCGGTTTGTGTGTGTACCGTGGAAATGACGTTGATCGACATTTACCAATAAAAATCGAATTCCACCAACCCTGTCAATAACTGTTAAAGTCTAAATAATTTTCATTGCTAACACTGAAGCAATTTTATTTTGATGAGACAAAGGTTTTATGTCGCTAGGAAGTGTGTAATAAAAATAAATTTTATCCATGATGCTGCAAACGCTTATGCACATGCTTAACTTTAAGTACCAGCAGTCCTACTGAAGTCAATTTGATCGTTCAGGTAGACAGTTACATACTAGCTTAAGTATTAGAAGGATCAGAGCTTTAACTCTCTACACCTCTACCCCGATATAACATGAATTCGGATATAACGCGGTAAAGCAGTGCTCCAGGGGGGCGGGGCCTTGCACTCCGGCAGATCAAAACAAGTTCGATATAACGCGGTTTCACCTATAACGCAGTAAGATTTTTTGGCTCCCAAGGACAGCGTTATATCAAGGTAGAGGTGTATTTTATATTTTCCCTATAGCAGTTTTGTAAAATGTAAATAATTTTCAAACCCTTACAGTGCTGACATTCAAAGAAAATAAACAAAACCATTTATAATGTAGTTTGTTATACATTTTAATTTGAATTTGCCATAGCACAAGTTTTGAAATTAGTTTACAAAACCTCAACTAGATTTTAAAATGTTAAGCAATGCAAATCAATCATTTAAATCACTCCCCACTGCTTCTGATTACCTTTTTATTACAGCCTCTTTGAAAACGAGAGTTTGATTGGGGGAAATTAAAGGGTTTAAGATTTAAAAGAAACTCTTGCTTTTAAATAAAATTCTTAAATACCTGCCTTGCTTCTGCCCCCTCCCCCGTATCTAGGGCAAGATCCTTGCCTCTGCTCTAGACACTTTATGTTACATAAAAGTGTTAGCCAGAGACGCGTAAAGGGGCCCATAAGTCCCATATTTGGCATGGGGAGGATTCCCTGGTGCAAGAATTGAAGAATGTAGCCATAAAGCTGTCCTCCCATGATCCCCTTATGTGTCCCTGTGCAGGTGGTGTGCTGGAGATGGGAGGAGCGGCATCAAACAACATTGTGGAAATTCCAGGAAGCGCTGCAAGTTAACTCATAGGACAGCATGGGGAGGCTGCTGTAACTGAGAGGGATTGTCTAAATTATGCTGAGGGCCTCTCCAGCCCCCATAACAGCCCAGGATCAAGAGGGTGCAAAGATGTCTTAAAGCAGCTGCAGTTTCCACTCCCCTAGATGGCAAACTCTGAATCTTTCCTCTAATCTTTATGGTATTTTGACAGAGGCTGTTGTAGAAAGATGGTCAGTAGCATGCAAAAGACACAAACTTTTGCAGATTGTCAGCTGAGTTAGAAATGCTGCTTCCCCCATTCCACTCCAAACCACCCTCCTTTCAGACAAAAACCTATAGGACTTTAGCATAATTAAAAATAATACATTACAATTAGTGAAGCAGCAAGAATATACCTCAAAATAAATTCTAGTGTAGTAATCCAGATAGATTACATAGACAGAACACACATACAGTCAGATACTGCCAATCACAGTCAAACACAAGTGATTACACATTGGCCTGTTCACTACATCACTAAAATAGGAAATTCAAACTAATGGTTCCCATGGCAACTGTAACTCAGCCACATTGCACATATATATTAAGAAAAACGAGCCACCGAAAACGAATGGCTACAGTATTTTCAGTGTTTCTTCACCAACACCTTTTAATTTGGAGGCAGAGTTAAGTTAGCTAGGGAACCGGGGTTTTTCAATAATCTCAAATCAGGATGATTTCCGAGTGGGAATAGGGCCTATTAGTAGGGTGATCAGACAGCAAGTGTGAAAAATCGGGACGGGGGTGGGGGGGGGTTATAGGAGCCTATATAAGAAAAAGACCCAAAAATCGGGACATCTGGTCACCCTACCTATTATCTACCACAAAAGCAATTATTGCAGTAAATGAATTTGTCTGAATGTTCTGAATCTGTTCCAAGTGATGTTGCTGTTTAAAAATTGTTTAAAACAAAACCCAGCCACCAACCCACAAACAACTGAGAACTGAACACTGTTTATTAACCCTGCATAATTATTCCAGTTTCTTCTATTGAAATTCTAGATTTGTATTACTTGTCATTTTTGGCTGACATTTTAGATTTGTAAGCAAAGATATATTCATTTGTTATATTCACCTCAAAATAGCTGTAAACGATCTTTTAGCTCTAATAAAGTGGTCTCCAACCTTTTTATGCCCAAGATCACTTTTTGAATTTCAGGGCAACCCAGGATCTACCTCGCCCGTTCCCTGAGGCCCCGCCCCGCTCACTCCATCCTTCACCCTCCGTTGCTCGATCTCCCCCACCCTCACTCACTTTCACCAGGCTGCGGCAGGGGGTTGGGGTGCAGGAGGGGATATGAGGTATTGGCTCCCGGAGGGGAACATTTACCTCG